GGACAAAACATGGCAAACATAAAACAAAGCTAAGCTGTGAGCAAAAGCAGACCCCTGTTCACAAAAATTGGCAAGAACAACGCTGAGACTAATTGAGACTTATCATGAGTTGTAAATACACAGCTTGTTGAAAAAGACCATGGTACCACTCCCCATAAATACTAACTCAGGTTCAGTGAAAGGTCTAAGATAACAGCCTGATGGAAGTTTACTCCCCATAAATACCAATTTAAGTTCAAGAAAAGGTAGAGGTTGATACATGATGGATGCAGATGGTCTAATCAGATCATGAGGCACAAAATGATTGGTGGTAATCTGGCAACATCAGAAGGTGGCAACCTCACACATCAGCAGTGATGTGTTTGTACCTGTATATACGGTGGTGTCTTGGGAGGACAGTCTTTGAATGGCCTCGGGCGGAAATGGAAGAGTTCCATTGTTTTGAGCCATTTCATTGTTACAAATGTGTAGAGGTTCAATAGAATCTATTGACAACTATTACTGTCCTTCGCTTACCAATAAACCTGGCCTGGCACCTTCGATCCTTATCTGATTTTTGGTCTTTGGGGACTCTCTTGGAGTCTGCTGTAAAGACTAAGTGCACAAGTCTACAAGGTCCATATCATTGAGCACACACACAAGCAGCCTTCTGGTTATCATCATAGACGGAGTCAGAGACATGCGAGGACATCACAACAGTGAATCTTGGCTCCTGCTAACTAACAGCATTGCTGAATGGCTGCCTGAATAACTGTACTCAGCAGCTCCTATTGGCTGTTTTAGGCAGCTCTTCACCTAGCTTGCTGGCTTTTGTGAATCACATTCTTAAGTGCCTAGTTATAAGTCCATTTGAGGATCAGGACCATAATGGCCTAGGATTAGTGTATTCTTTTCCTGCTACTTGTGTAGGAATCAGATCGTGTCCTTGCCTCTCTCCAATAGCTTTTGTGTGTATTGAAGATAGGCTATTTGTAGAATCATAAATGGTTAGGGTACGAAGAGAACTCAGGAAATCACCTAGTCCAACCCCATGCACAAAGTAGGATGAACCCCAACTAAATCATGCCAACCAGGACTTTGTCAAGGCGGGTCCTAAAAACTGCTAAGGATGAAGATTCCACTACCTCCAATATGTCTAGGTTACTCTAGATCCTATTCCTATCCTCCAGTGTATCTCCCTCTTCCACCCAGCTTAGTGTCATTCACAAACTTGCTAAGAATTCAATCCATTTCATTATCCAAATCATTAATGAAGATGTTGAACAAAACTGGCTCCAGGATTAATCCCTGGTGCACTTTGCTTGATACCAGCTGCCAAGAAGACATCAAGCCATTTATCATGACCCATGGATCCCAGTGATCTAGTCAGATTTCTGTCCACCTTACAGTCCACTCATCCAAGCCAGATTTCTTTAATTCGCTGGCAAAGAATACTGTGGGAGACCATATAAAAAGCCTGCTAAAATCAAATATAGCACATTCAGTGCTTTTCCCATATTCACAGAGCCAAATATATCATAATAGGAGACAATTAGATTGATCATGCATGAGTTGCCCTTGGTTGACTGTTCCTGATCACCTTACACTCCTCTAAGTGCTTCACAATGGATTCTATGAATGCCTCCTCCAATTTTCCAGAGACTGTGATGAGGCTGACTGGTCTGTCATCCCCTAGATTATTCTTCTCTTTTTTTAAAAAAGATGGGCTCTACATTTGCCTTTTTCCAGTTGTCCAAGACCTCCACTGATCACTGTGAGTTTTCAAAGATAATGGCCAATGCTCTGCAATCACATCAGCCAACTCCCTCAACACCCTATGATGCATTGCATCCAGTCACATGTTTGTGTGTGTTTGTCTAGCTTTTCTAAATAGTGCTTACTCTGTTATTTCACTGCTGAGGGCTGCTCACCTCGTTCCTAATGGTTTCCTTAATAAGATAAAAAGTAGACGTTAAGGCAACCTGAAAATATGATATAGGAACAACTTCACAGTCCAATTAGCTATGGAATATAGCTGTTTTCAAGTCTTTAGGAGGAAACTCTGTGTACTGTTATGAAACAGTTGTGTAAATTTAACATGGTTGACTAGTTAGTAAGTTGCTCACACTTAGAGCTTTTCCACAAAAGTAACATATAGAACTGTGTGAATTTATAACACACAATATGTAAAAGCATTCTCTGTTTCTGGTCTCTCTCAGCTGAAAGTGGCATAGGAAGCAAAGTATGATGTAACATTTATTATGTGGGTGATTAGACAAGGAAACAGGAGTAATTTCTGCTGTTCAGAAATGGTGCTGCTGTCTACTTGTCATTCACATAATGAAGATTTTATTCTTCTATTGGGATTGAACTAACTTGACATAACTATATTCAAGACAATTTCAATATGAAGAAAATTTTGTAAAAAACCTAATCATTGCCTTAGTTCAGTAGATTTGAATTTTTGCATGGATACACACGTGTAACTCATTTTGCTTGATTTGCTGATCCCACTCGCACACCATTAAATAAGAGTTGCCAGCTGGATTGTGCAGGTGCAATAATATGTATGGTTTTCTGTGACTGGATGTTGTGTCAAGAGAGGACAAAGACAGAGACAAGGGTAAGGGATTATAGGTGACAGAAAAACATTAAATTATGTAACTTAAAGGATCTTTTAGTTCAGGTAGGAATCATCTGGTGAAATTGGCTTTTAGAAACATAACCAGAAAACATGACCTTCGGATTGTAGACTTTCTTTTCTTTTCCTAGTGTCTAATTCTGTAGCCATTTCCTCCCATTGAGAAATACTTATGTGAGGTAATGCCATTGAAATCAGTGGATTACTGTCATATGTACCATTAACTGAAAAGGGGCTGCAGCATTGAGCTGTTAATTGCTAGGAAGAAAGTTTTTTTTTTTAGATAAGAGTAGAAAAACTTTGATTTGTGATTATTAGAGTGTCTAATATTGTTTCAGTGTTTTTGTTATCTTCCTTTATTTTAATTTCAAAACTCCACAGATTCTCATACTTGATATTATTAATGAAAATTTAGATGTGTGATATTTTTTCACTTGTTTCTAAAAACAGTGGTCCAGTTTCCCATCTGTTATACAGTAAACTTCCGATAATCCGGCACCTTTAGGACCCAGGGGGTGCCGGATTATCAGATATGCTGGACTATCGGAAGGGGGGGCTATGAAGGGTCTGGGGTGGGGCGCATGCCGATAGTCCGGCTCTGCCCCAGGTGTAATTCAGCCGCTGCTGGTCAGTTTCAGCAGCGGCTGAAACTACGGACAG